AAGTTCACAGCTGACGTGAAGACAGATGGAGTTGCGTTACAATCTCTGGACACTAAGCATAGAAAAATGCTTTTGTGACGTTGACACTGCACAATGATTAATTATAGCCACCTCTTTTATCCTAGAGGAAATGCAAATAGAAATTCCATAGAAGGTTCCTTGTTCTCTAACACTTTCACGGACAGTTAACATATTCCAGCATGGGTGTTTGTTTCTTAGGGCTTCATCTCCTTCCAGATCTTCCAGAACTTATAGAAGTTGCCTTCTTTTGTAATTTAGGCCTGACTCACTGGCAAGTAAGATTTTAGCTCAGTGGGATTTCTCAGAGGAATTATCACTTATACCTGAAGACCCTATGTAAAGAAATTTAGAAATTACCATTAAAAGCATCAAAGACAAAGGTCCTACGGTGAATTTGGATGAACTGAAGAAAATGAGCCTGGGGATAGAGTAGAACTGTACAAATAGGGAAATCTAAATGGATGAAAATTATAAAGTGAATCGGCTCTGACAAGGAATACAAGGGTACAAGAGTGCCTAGTTACATGGTCCAAGAGTATCAGATGTTCTCATCCCCATTGGTCTCTCTTCCTAAATTCTGAACACCTAATTTGTCATTTTAATTCATCTCTCATAACCCATAAGCCATCTCGCATAACCCCCACCACCATCACCAGGTTAGTGTTTTGTTCTAGACACTCATGCTTACTCTTTTCTTTCACCCATCCAAGTGATGGCTGAGTTTGAGAGACCAAGCAGCCCACAGGAACACCACACATCCCCTGCCCCTTTATAAGTGTCCTGAGGTAACCATCCAACCAAATAGGCATCTAATATATACAATTCACAACTTAGCCTAACTCACATCACTCAAGGAGTTTGACAACTGAACAAAAATCACAAATTTCACTGAAGCCCAGATAAGATGTTTGTGTTTTCTTATCTCTACAATTTCCATCATGGACACTTGGCCTTAAGAAACAGAAATAACCTAACAGGCTTTGTTCTGGTTGTTGATGTTAAGTAAACATGAGATGGCAGTCTAGAATCAGTTTTTATCTCCTACTGAAGAATGGTCATGTTTCTATTTCCTGTCTCTGGACATTTCCCAAGTATGTCTCAGTTCTTTCCAATGCCTCAAAGTTCAGTTTATTGCCTAAATTTACATCCTTAAGAACTATGACTTTGAAAGCAATACATAATTCACCATAAAATTTTCCCTATATTTGCTTTTGTTTTGAGCAAGCAGACCCCTGGATTGTAACATGAATATATAATAGTTGTCTCTTCAATTCTGAATACTCTATTTGTCACAAACACTGGAAGAATTCATGTTTAAAAATAAAATAACGCTCAGAACTTCAAGGATGGAAACTGGTAGGCTGTGTCCTTCAAAGGCCTTTCTTAGCCTACCAGCTTTATTAGACCAACAGAGATGCACAGTCACTGAAAAAGAGGTTTTCAAGTTAATAAAATTTATAGCACCAGGAGATATCAGACCTGCCTGGACTAGGTGGGTGGAGGTCACAGAGGTCTGGGTAGAGGTAACAAGATTTTCTTTCCTGCAGACGGGAAGGACTACAATTGAACAGCAATTGTCTGAAGCTAAATGGCACCCTTTAAAAGCTCTGTATTTCTGCTTATTAGTAGGACAATGGCATTACAGACCATAGTCTCCATCCTCCTCATTTGTTGGCAAATTATTAATAATAAACTACTCTTTCCTTCTCAAAAAAAAAAAAAAAGATATTAGAAAGGAGGCTAAGGTACTAAGGTAGAACCATATGTGCAACAGGGAAAGTCACACTGGATTCAGATACTACTCCCCAGAGTGTTTTTGTAGACTTTACATAATGGGAAAGGTCTATTATAGCCACGTCCTTTATCCTTAAGCTGAAAACTTCTTACAGAGCTTCATTGTTCAGGTTTTTGTATGTCTGGCACTTACAAGGGAGGCTCTTCCTTGAAAATCACCAGAAACGTGGCTGGAACACTTTAATCTTCATATTTGTATAAATTTAATAACTCTAAATCGGATTGAATTATAAAGACATTTTTATTAATATTTCTACTCATGCACTGTCTTCTCATGTTCCTTCAATAAGAAAACTCACTTGTATTTTCTTCCAGAATAGAATTTCAGTTATTATTTTTTTAAATAACAGGACCTTTCCTCCAATGAGCCTAAAAGGGGACTAGGAAATAAACCATTGGGGTTAAAGAAATGAAGATTTTTTTTTAAGACAGCCATACACAAAGCTCCCAAGTTTGAATTACAAAGGTGAATATACAAGAGGGCACAGTCAAGTGTACTGCTGGAAACCACTGCCCGCTTTGCAATGCCCCCAAAACACAGGAACCCTCAAAGAGCACACTGGCAACTCTACATTACAGATGTCACTCCTGCTTTCCCTTCCTGTGTTTAGGGGTCATGGTAGCTGAGAAGTGTTACTTGAATGATGTATGTAAATACCTTCCCATATGCATTAACATCCAGGTAACTTAAAGTTTATATACCATTGCCAACAGGAGGAACCACAGTATGAAGAGGTGAATCTAGCCCAGCAGTCCCTTAATAAACGCCAAAGAATGGACAACAGAATTTTAAAGGGACCTTAGAGATAGTCTAGTCCAACTACTCAACTTGGCCAAAGTCACACTGTTGGAAGAAATAAGAGTCAAGGTCTGTAATCTCAGTACCAGGATATTTTCACTATTACAGGCTGATTTACCCATCAACTAAAGAGATGAAATTTTCTCCTCTGCCCTTTATTTTCACTCTAAATACCACTCCAGCACCTTACATCAATTTATTCAGTCTTTTTGCTTGGGGATTTTTCCAGAGAGATTAATTACCTCAGAGAAATCTGTAGTGAACACTTGGCTGTCCATCCTTCCTTTTTAGAGGTTCTCCTGAGTTTGACCTTCACAGTATAAACCATTTAGTTCTGTCCACTTCCTCTCAATATCCTCTCATCTCCCCATGGCCCTCTCACTGTGGGTGTTCCCAAGACTCCAACCTCTGTTCTGCGCTTCAGTCTGCAACCTGTGACCCATAACATTAGCCCTAATCTCTCCAAGCTCCAGACTCATGTGTCTAGGTGTTTCCTGCGTATTTTTATGTTCTTATCTCCTCAAACTTTGATGTCCCCCCAAAATCATCTCTCTCTCTGCACATTTTACTCAACTTCCTAAGAGTATCATCACATCTCCATTCATGTAAGTTCAGAACTTTAGTCACTTGACTCTTCTACTTTCACCCAGTCTTCCTGACTTTTTAAAAGAATTCTTTGTGCTCCTTTTTGAACTCATCTTTCTTTTCGTTCCCACAAAAACCACCATAAACTAAATTTTCATCAGCCTCTCAGCCAGTCTATCTCCAACTCCTTCTTTATTAAACGTCTACTTCATCATGTTAATCTGTTGTTCAAAAAACTTTCATTTTTCTTAATTAGGACATTCTTCTCCAACCAGGTGGGTCTACTCACTATTTTTCCATGTATTTTCTCATTGCTATGTCTGCCCACAATAAATCCCACAGCAAGAATATACATCATCCTGTCACCTGTCCAAATCCCAACTGCCTTCAGTGGTGGTTCAAGTGCATTCTTCTCCATGAAGCCTTCTCTTTCTGTTCTCAAATTCACTGCCTATGTACCACTTTTATTGGTACTCAACTTCCAACTAGTTTATATATTAACTCTCTAAATACATATGTCTTGTCCTCTTGGTGTGGCCATAGGAACCAAATTTTATTTGTCTTTGTTACTTTTGGAACTATCCCAATAACTGTATTGCATTATGAAAAAATGAGGCATAGTACTTAAAAGAACATATTAGGGGTAGAAAATACTGAGTTCATTCAGATTCTGGTTTTGTTCCTTTCTAGCTGGGTAACCTTAGGCAAATTACTTAATCTCCACAAACTTTCATACCTATAAAATAAAGATAATACCACCTACTTCATGGTGCTATTGTACAATTTAGCTGAATGCATATGTGCATACACACAATGTTTAACATGATATCTGGTGTATAGGAAGTGCTTTTTTAACAGATGGCTGTTATGATTTTGCACACAATAGGCACTCCTCTTTGGTTAATATTTTAAACTGCGAAGGTCATGCTAAATATTTCTTCATACCATGCCATCAAGATTCCATTTCACATGAAGTTTTACACTCCCGATCACCATATTTAGGCAAAAATTACTTTACTAAGCCATTATATTCCAGAAGAATAGAAAAGATAACTTTCAATCCTCAAGCTGTGCCCAGCTGACAAAACCTGGTGTATAAAACTCTGTGCAGTTTCATCCACACACAAAACCCATTCAAGCATGATTTTCAGCAACTGCCATTTTGATAGTGGAGTTAAAGCAAAACTAAAGAATTCCTTGGGAAGGCTAGCAAAGTTTCCAAACAGCCAAGTCAATAGATAAAGATTTTGTGACACAGGATCGCTAGAGCCTGTCAAAAACTGGAGCTCAGTGATTAGTGACCGTAGCCAGCTTTTGCTATGAAGCAAGGCACAAGATTTCCTTCCACCAGCAAGGCTATTATTACCAAGTCCATCAGTGGCTTTTAAAAACAGTGTAAATGCTGAAATACAGTATGTTAAAAACCAACATCCTGGCCTTTTTTGGCTGAGGTGATTCTTTTTTTTCCCCCCTAATGAAACAGTCTTTTCTCTTTTGTGCACAGGTCACAGTTTTTCCCAGGTTAAATCATACTATATTTAAAAAATCAGATACTACACCTCCACAAAGGTTACTGGAACTTTCCACCAGGAATATCTATGATCTTGCAAGGGAGGCCGCATCTGTGTGAAGAAAGTCAAAGCCATTGTCTCCCTCTGCCACACCTTGGAGCCGTGGACCTCCACAGCACTGAGCAGCACAGGGCAAACCTCTCCCTATACCATTGCCCAAACTGCTCCCCTTCTGAGACCCCAGCCTTATTATTTCCACACCCTTATGCAGGGAAATTGGACGGTCTTACCGCAGATGTTAGACGAGCGAGAATTTCATCACTGCTTTCTTCAGGGTCTTCAATTTTCTGATGAGACCTTTGAAAAACAAAGAAGAAATTACTCTTCAGCTTTGGTTTCTCAAACTTCTCTATCATGTTAGGGGAAATAAAGGCCAAATAATGGCATTGTTATTTTATTATATTGTATATTATATTAGTGAAAGTACTGATGCAAATACTATTGCGTCAATAATGCCATAGGAACACAACCCTGTTGCAGGTCAATTGTTCCTTCAAAACCAATTAGCAAGAACCTCTACATGATGCACCAATTGAACGCTCAGGATCGAGTATTATTCTCCAAGTGATATAACATAATAACCCTGACACACCAGATTTACATATATGGACGTGCATGAAGTAGATGCTAACACAAGATGCTTAAATGCTGAAATTCCCTCTAAATCTAAATGAAATCCAGATTTTGAAAATATGAAATGTGAATTTACCTTTACAATTCCATTTCAGCCAAGATAAATGTACTCTAAAATGGTATATTACAGGCCTAATACCATGATGGGAATTATGAGGAAAACAAAAGGCAGAAGAACTCTGCTTTTTTAAGAGACTATAGCCCAGTTCAGAAGCCAAGGAAATTATGCATATGTTAAATAACTAACAAGACATGTAACAGTGTAAGATCAATTTGTTTAGGAAAAAAATCATCGTTTTAACTTAATTCACAAAAAAAATTTTCACCACACAAATGTATGTGCTAATGTATAAAATCATCTACTTCTTAAGAAAAATCTTGTAAACTACATTTTTTTTCCCATGTGGTCAAAAAAAAAAAAAATTTGACTAATGCCGATTGAATACATAAAATTGTCTCCCAGATCTATTTCCACAAGCAATCCCTTTCGATCCATTCTGCGGCTGTGGAGGGATTCGAGGTAATTGCCCCGTGGAGCAATGTTATCAGAATCGCAGTCCAGTGATTGATTTCAATCTCGGGAACTGCGGTGGGGCAGCTGGAACGCTATCCTTGCGGGGCAGGAGGGCTTCTCCCCACCCACAACAGGGCTAAGCAGCAGCTCTTTAAGAAGGGAAAAGCTAGTCGGATCAATTCTGGCATTGGCTTCGTGTTTCTGTAAGTGTTACTAAATCCTTTTCCAGGAAAAAAGTCACACCCTTCAAATCACAGCAATGATATACAAGCCACTGCCTTTACAAGAATTGCAACATATAGGCACGAAGCAGGGCCGATGTTGTCAATTAACTTAAGTATTCAGTGCAACAAAGTGTTTGAGATGCTTGCTAATAATCTGCCTGATAAAAACAGTGAGAAGTGAGCATTATAACTCAGCATATTTTTTTTAAAAGTTACCTGGATGGGTATTTCAAATAACAGGCTTTATTATTAAAATTCCCTATGCACAAAGTTTCCATATAAATGAAGTTATATTGAGAAGAGATTTGAAACCCTTTATAACCTAAGCCACCCAACCAGGTTTATATGATTAAGCTGAGGTGACTGAACAGATCTGACAGGAAATTAAGAGCGAAGCGTGGGCTGGTCGTGCCTTTTCATGTTTCTCAGACCCCACAGATGCCTGAAGTATTAGTTAATGGGCATGAGGTATTTTGCGCGAGCACAGATTCTGTCATGAATCTGTTTTCAATAAGCTGCTGAAAGGAACTCAAAATTCCAAGGGAAGCTCTTGTGTACACGACTGATAATGGCTGTGTCATGAGTAACGGCTGAACTGCTGCTGTTTTCGTGACAAATAATTTAGTCCCTGTTCGAAAGCAAAACTATCTTTCATCATCCTTCCAGCACAAAACATGCCATGGCAAAAACGTTGCTTAAGGAAATATGTGTAAGAGACAGAGTGATGATCTTCGGCGAGCTGTGTCCAAGCCCATATTCCACATTTATCACCTCAATCACCAGGATTTTTGACCAGAACTCCATGTCTTTCTGTAGGTTCTGAATATGCTCTGAGCTTGCCTTGTTTTTCCATCTGCCTTCCAAGTGGCTTTAGGTCGCAATTCCAGGAATTTTATTTTCACCCACCTGGGGATCTCACAGGGTAACTCCGTATAACTCACGCTGCAACGCCTCCTGCCTCCTGCCCTCACCAGGTCTGCTGGCACCTCTCGGGACTCACAGGTCCCCTCACCCTGTGGCGATTCCTTCCCTCCTCACTGCCTGCCTCTGCTCAGTGCCCAGGTTCTCTCTGACAGACAGGCTTGGCAGGAAGGGAAGGGAAGTGACTTTGCTTGAACACATTATTTTAACCCACTTCTTTGCCTCTGGTTTCTCTTCTTCTAACCCAATCTCCCACAGACACCAGGATTACCTTTCTAAAACCTAGATCTGGTCTTGCTATTCCCCAGACGCTAGACCTTCAGAGATTATCCCCACTGCCTACTGAGAGTTCTGGAATTCAGAAATACTCTTGCTTCCCTGCTAACATACTCCATGTGCTCCTGCACCAGCAGACACCTGCACCTCACCTGCCATAAAGGAAGGTCATGGGGGTAGGACTGGGGGGAACAGGCAGAGCCTGAAAAGGGAGAAGGAAGAGAGAGAAGGCGATACTCAGCCATGCTTCTTCCTCCCTTACTACTGTTGTCACTTTTTCCCTTAAACCCTCTCCCCAGCTCTAGGCCAAAATATCCAAAAATACCAGACTCTCTTGCCCCAGCAAATGTATTTTTTACAGAATGTAAATAAATTCTGATTTTGTCTATATAAATACACATCAGTGGAATCCAGGAAAGACAAAGTTCTCACTTACTGGGTCAAAATAGATAACGAAACAGAAGCAGCAGAGGAGAATCAAGGGTAATACTGACACACGTTCCGTTACTACTAAAGGGGGCTGTGCTGCTGCTCAGTGAACGAGAGAGGAAGAGAGTGGCTGTGGGTCTGGTTTGTTAGTGGTTGGAGAAGGGAAACAAAGAAACTCTGGCTGGAATCAGCAGGTGATGACAGTGACAAGTGACATAAGACAGAAAGAGAAGAGAAAGGGCGTGAGCCCAGGAGGGAAGATCCATCCCTGAGGGTTTATGCCAACAGGCGCTCCACTTTAGGAATTCCCAGGCTTACTTCTCAACGTCTCTGCTTCCCAACAGCCCAAGGCAGAGCTGGTAATTCTCCAGGGGAAAGTGCTGAGTCCCAGTGCCACAGGCAGATGTCTTTGTAAGTTTGAGAGGTCTGTAATATCTCAGGGTGCCATCTGAGCATGCAGGGATGGCAAAAGCCTATGGACCTCTGCCCTTGTCCCTCTAACCATTAAACTGGGCATATTATCATTCTACTCACCCCCTACCCAAAAAGAAAATCACAAAACAGAAAACCCTGCCCTTCCTATAATCTTCCTTATCTTATTTGATGGCAACTCCACCCTTCCTGTTGGAAGTCAACCTTCATCCTCTCTCTCTCACCGCCCACCTTGTATCTACCCTGAAATCTTACTGGCTCTTCCTTCAAGGCATCTCTCCCATCTGACCACCTCCCACCACTTCTATCACCACCACTCTGGTTCCCACCACAATACCTCTCACCTGAACTCAGGAGCCAGTTGTTCTGCTGAAATGGAAGTTAGGTCATATCCCTCTGCTTAAAATCCGTTATTTTTTTTTTTTTTTTTTTTTTGAGACAGAGTCTTGCTCTGTTGCCCTGGATAGAGTGCAGTGGCGTCATCGTAGCTTGCTGCAACCTCAAACTCCTGGGCTCATGTGATCCTCCTGCCTCAGCCTCCTAAGTGGCTGGGACTACAAGCACACACCACAAGGCCAGGGTAATTTTTTCATTTTTAGTAGAAAGAGGGTCTCACTCTTGCACAGGCTGGTCTCCAACTCCTGACCTCAAGCGATCCTCCCACCTTGGCCTCCCAGAGTGCTAGAATTACAGGTGTGAGCTACTGTGCCCGGCATGTTCAAAATCTTTGAATGACTTTCCATCTCATAAAGCCAGAGTCTTTTTTATTTAAAAATAATGAATTAATGAGTAAAGATTTTATATATTCAAGGCATACAACACAATGATTTATGTATACATTGTGTAATGATTATCACAATCAAATTAGTTAACACATCCATCACCACTCACACTGTGCATTAGATCTCCAGGACTTGCTCATCTCATAAATGAAAGTTTGTACCCTTTGATCAACATCTCCCCATTTCCCCTACCTGAAACATCTATATCTTGGTCAGGTCTGTTTTGCTTAATAAAGCAAATTCCTATGAAAAAAGAAAAAGTGGGATGGTAGATGAATGAGAATTATATTTTTTCTTGAGATCTTTAATATCATAAATACAAACAACTGCTTAGCTTCTCAAGCGAAGATAAATTTCCACAGCATCAGACTACTAGTCATGCTTATAGAGGAAATTTACCAAATGGCAGTAAATTGTGACAGGTTTTATTAAGGGTTCAGGGTATATAGTTATGGATTAATCTAAAACTGAATAAAATTAGATATTACTGATATGATACTCTTTCGCATTTCATTTTGAAGATTTGAAGATTAATGCTTAATATTTAATTAAACAGCTGCAAACGCTAATACAAGCAGGTCTAAAAATTCAATTTTTGCTAAAATTCCTCTACTACTCTTAACTAGAGAGATACCCTAATAAAAAATATGCGATCTGTTCCCATACCAGGAATAAGCCTTGCCTATAAACAATGGAAATTTTGGAGAACTATTTCCTTGGGAGAGGGGGTAATGAGTAATAACAAAGACTAAGACTGGCTGATTTCATAAGATTTTTTTACAAAAACAGTTTAGAGTGATAAATGAAAATTTCCTTCACCTATGATCCTAATACAAAACTTATGCCAGGTGCCATCATAAAAAATTGTTTTGAGAAATACTCAAAGAAATTTTTGTTTACCCAAACAGTATTTCCTCTTCTCCAAGTGTCATGAGAATCTAATTAGAAAAAGTCAGAAGTGCAAAGGGTGGTTTGGAACATAGGAATGGCAGACTTGAACTTGAGCTCCCCAGTCAGAGGGTGTTAATCCAGCACCATCTCAGAAACTAAGGATACCAATGGATGTCTCATGTTGCTTATACATGT